TTGTTTCGAATATTGTACAACTTGTATAGATTATAAACAAATCAACAAATCCTGGGCAGATACAAGGTAGCCAGAGAAGGAAGTGAGGACCACAAGAGCCTTGTTGGTTTGCTAACATTCAAGTTCTCTAGTTCTTAGGAAAATATGTAGAAAGATTTTAAGGTCTCTAAGTTAATTTCTCTTTTTAAAAATTAAAATTCTCCCTGGAGAGGGAAAGGCAGAGGGTAGCCAATAGACATGCCACATGGGGAAGGGGCCACTTCATTGGGACAGCGTATTCAGGGGAAACTATTCTGTGTGTGATGGACATGACAGTTACAGAAACTGCAGGTGTTTTCCAACCATGTTTACAATAATGAAACTCCTGCCCCCAGAGGAGAGACACTGAGTCTGGGTTAGGAGACTTCACCCAGTAACCGCTACTACTACAGTACTGGAAATGCTGGGCCGACGACCTCTCTCCAGCGCCTCTGGCTTCACTGCTCACTCCTTCCCTTTTGCTCACTCTGCTCCAGCCACACTGGTCCCCATGATGTCCCCTCCACCCACGGCCTTTACCTGCAAGCCCTCTGCCAGGAACACCCTTCCTAGACATCAGTATGATCCATTCTCGTGGCCTCCTTCTGGCCTTTACTTAAACAGCACCTGCCCAGCAAAGTCTTCTCTACCTAAAACTGCAGACAGCCCCAGCACTGCCCTCTGTCCTTATCACCATGACATGTTACATACTGTACTTACTTTGCTGTCTGGCTCCACTAGATAATCTCCACGAGAAAAGGTACGGAGTTTTGTTCAACGCAGTCTCTTCAGCCCCTAAAAGTGTCTGGCACACAGTAGGCATTTAATACTCACTGAAAAGAACCAAGAAGTAAGTGAATGTTTACGGAAATGCCACTTGGCCCTGCTTTGGGGCATTTCTGCTTTCAAAGCAAACAATGCTGCAGTGGTTGTGGTCCAGTATCTTCTGAGTACAGGGCTGCAGGGCCCACTGACAACCAGAGAACATGCCGAAAAAAAAAAAATGCTAAAAAAAAAGCAAAAAACAAAACTCAAAAAAAAAAAATTCATGAGAACAAAAAGCTGGCAATTTGGGGACAGGGAAATCATAACACACTTCTACACATGTGACCGAATGTAAAGCTCAAAGAACAGACTAGTATAAAACACAATGCCTAGTCACGTGAGGCTCATCCTCCTGATGGGGGATATAAGACAAACAGGCAAGAAACAAATCTGCAGCATTTTTCTGACAAAGGGCCCCAGGGAGCCAGGGAGACCTGGCAGGTTACTTCTGGAGCCTGGGTAGCATTCAAGTCGGAGCACAGAGTATCTTTGCAGTCTTTTATGTTTTGTTTTATTTTTTTAATCAAATTTTTATAATCTTTATAATTGTATAATCTGCATTATAAAATTGTTGTAATTACTTACCAGTAAACTTGGTTTTTGTTTCCTGCAACTTCAAGACAAACTGATACTCCACCAAGATCTGCCAGGAAACCCTGTGACGTGGGGTTCTCCTTGGCAATGTGACCCCCAGGGGTGTAACCCTAACTGGCAAATGTGGAATTTGGACATCACAAAAAATACCATCTTATATCAAAATATATGGTAGAGACAGTAACTGCTGTGGCTTTTTGGAAAAGGCCAAAATATTTGGAAAAATTATATGGAGTCTTTTCAATAATACTATGTGTATTACTCAAACAAGCAATTCTCCAATGAAGACATACAAATGGCCTATAGGCACATGAAAAAATGCTCAATATCAGTAATTATTCGATTCAATTACTCTAATTCAAAAAGATACATGCACCCCAAAGTTCACAGAAGCACTATTTACAATAGGCCAAGACATGGCAACAACCCAAATGACCATTGACAGATAACTGGATAAAGAAGCTGTGGTATATTTCTACAATGGAATACTACTCAGCCATAGAAAAGAATAAAATAATGCCATTTGCAGAAACACGGATGGACCTGGAGACTGTCATTCTAAGTGAAGTAAGCCAGAAAGAGAAACAAAATATCACATGCTATCACTCATATGTGGAATCTAAACAAAGAAAAAAGAAGACACTAATGAATTCATCTACAAAACAGAAACAAACTCACAGACATAGTAAACAATCTTATGATTACCAGGGGGAAAGGGGTGAGAAGGGATAAACTGGGAGGTTCAAGATTTGCAAATATTAACTACTATATACAAATACAGACAAAAAACAAATTTCTTCTGTATAGTGCAAGGAACTATATTCAATATCTTGTAGTAACCTATAATGAAAAAATATGAAAACAAATACAGGTGTGTGTGTGTGTATATATATATATATATGTGTGTGTGTGTGTGTGTGTGTGTGTGTATAACTGAAACATTGTGCTGTACACCAGAAATTGACACATTGTAACTGACTATACCTCAATTAAAAAAAATACTATATATATTATTCAAACTCCTACCACGATATAAGATGCATGACAGCCATTTTTCTGCCTTAGTTAGACTATTTTTTCAAATGAAGAAACAAGTCATTTTTAAAAACAAATACATCTATTTAATATAAGTGGAACGTAAATATGCAGTAATGCCAGAAATAAACTATCTTCAACTCTGGGCTCTTTTCAAAAGATACAAGATCAGTTTTTCAAAAGATACAAGATACACAGATAAATCACATTCATACCTTACAAACGTTAAATAGCAAAAATTTAAATTCATAATGAACAATGAATATTTTTCAGTAGCTTGAAACTTTACTCAGTCCATAATTTTTAGGATTGAAAAAAGAGCTAATCATTTACCTTAATATTGTCATTTATGCATTACTCAGAAGTACAAACACCCTGAAGATGGAGTTGCATGCTTACCATATGTATTATAAAAACAATGAGACATTTATCAAGCATAACTAATATAATGAAAACTATATTTTAGGATATGTTTCACAAACACAAGTCCAACATTTCCTCTTTGGTTCAGAAAATATAAGAGGTAGGTTCAAACAAAGCAAATGCCTATTACGTCACTAGATTTTTATTAAAATGTCAGCAATTTATCAGAAATTACTAGAAATCAAACTTGAGTTTAAGAACTAAATTAAAAAATGGTAAGAATAACTTCAACTACCAAATATTTTTCTAAGTCCTAATCACACAAATCAGAAAAGACAGTTGATTACAAAAATGGCGTTAGTAAAATAAAAACATGCCATCAATATTATAAATTAAGTTTTCTGTATCATAACATGTTCCTAAAACTGGGGGCAAAAGAGAATATGAATGTACATGTTTGTAAATTGGGCCTTTCATTTAAATATAGGTACCAAATATATAAAATTAATACATACTACTATTAGTATCTACTATTCTCCTAGGTTTGTTCTGCCCAAATTGAGCATTGCAGGGTCAAAGAAATTAAACAGTGAGGGGGAAATGAGACTGTCATTCACCCACGATCAACATACTTCATGTGATTAAGAAATTCAGATAACCCAGAATGGTCCCCAGAAGCCTTCGTGATTAAAACAGAAGTCTGAGTCAAGTAGGAAACAAAAGACAAAGAGAAGAGATGGTCTTCAAAAGCTGATATAAGTAAAAGGGTTTTGTTTCCTGGTGCTTTTCAAAGCAATGATAATAAAAAGAATCTTTCAAATAAGTTGCCTTGTGTTGATAATTTAACAGTAATATATTGACGGTGTGTCATCCTGGGAATCAAATCACAGTACAAGAAAAATGGAGAAAGGCCCTCTGAAATAAATATTATTTTATGACTCCTCCTTACACAAAAATGGTATGAATGGACTAGGGTATTCACATGCCTTGAAATTCTGCCACTTACATTCATTCTTATTCACCTTAAAGAAAAATATAAACCCAATACCTATTTGGCTGCTGTAAGGTATATTTTCATGCAATGATTCTCTATTAATGGTCCTACAAGGAAATTTTAAGAAGTCTATAAAGACATTCAAAATATGTAAACAATTTAAGTTTCAAGGTTTTCTGATCATTAAAAAAAAAAGATTTTTAAGTATAAAGAAACTGGCATAAACTTGAATCAACCAAAATAAAGATTTATAATTCTACCACACAAAACAAATTTAGGTCAAGCAAGTACATTTTTTCAGATTTAAGATTCAGGGCAGAGATGTATAGAAAGGACTAATAAGAAAAGACAAAATACAATTTTATGGCCTTTTCAAAATTGTATGTGCCATCGAAACTATGGTTTTTTAACATTTCTGAATATATAAAACTGAGCCCAAATGTTTGAAGGTATCATTGATATGCTCTTCCCTTTTGTGAAAAAAAAAATACAGCTTCTTTTGCCATAGACTTGTTGCAATTCTAGGAGAAGAGTTCTCTCTAGAGATTGTTGAAAGTTTCAAGACTCATGCTAAAGCAAAAAATTCAACATGTCATTTCTGAGTTACTCCTAAAGTTTGTTTCATTTTTTCATAAACCACGTAACTGATGCCTACAGCAGGGAGCACCTTCATAAAGTTTGGGGTGATGCCTCTGTAAAGTCCTGGTATTCCTTCTTTGGAAATTATTCGTCGAAAGAGCCCAACCATGTTCAGCTGTGGGGTTCCTTCTACCATGGCTAGAAAATAAAAAAAGAAACCAGGCTAACTTGATATTCAAGCACGTTTTGTTATTACTATATGCAATTATGATTCCGAATGATATTCTAACATACAATGAAAGGATCAAATTTATTCCAAGGAGCCCAAGAAAGTACCCCTTTATATAATTCTCCCTGTAGAGCACCTGATAATAACAATGGTACTGTTATTTATTGAGAGATTACTATGTGCTAGTCATTGGGTTAATTATATACCAATCCTCCAAGTTACGTATTATGATACTCATTTAATAAATAAGGAACTGGAGGCTTAGAAAGACAGAGAAACTTGTCCGAAGACACTTAGCCTAGAAAGTGGGAGAGCTGAGAGCAATGGTTTTCCTCCTCGGTAAATGGAATGAAAACTGTGCAGTGTTGTAAGAATTAGCAATAACATATGTAAAGCACCTGGCGTTTGTCAAATTCTTGGTAAATCATGGTTGGAGTTCTTTATTATTATGGGACCTACAACTTTTGAACTGTGATTCCTCCCCACCGAGACACTGTCTCCTCCTGGACTTTGATGATACCGTACCCTCCTGCCTCTTCTGCCATCTCATTGATTATTCTCATTTCTTATGATTTGCTGGGTTTTATTGCTGTATGAAAGTAGCAGGCATTCTGTGCTTTCCTGCTTTACCCCTGGCCAACATCACCCATGATCATTTCTTTAAATAGCATACCCTGAGCACCTACAGCTCTAGCCCCAACCTCTCTTCCAAGTGCCAACCACCCCTCCTCCAGCCAAGCAGTCAATCATTAATTAACCAATACTTCCAATGTGGACGCTGCTAAATATTTGTAAATGCAATGTAAATGCTACATAAACAGTGGACCGCATGGCAAATTCAAGTTTTGCTTTTTGGAACTTCCTGGAGTTTTGGGGTTTCTTTCTCCTGAATATTTTTGATCTACAGTTGGTTGAATTCATGGATGCAGAAGCCACGGATATGAAGGGCCAACTATACTCTTTTTTTTTTTTCAACTATGCTCTGAAAACAGGCATTCTTGACACAGGGAAGAAAATCTTAACTCTGAGCATAAACCGCAGATATACGTGCAGTGTTATCCGTGGTATTAAAATTTCATGAAGAGGAATGAATTAGGAAAAGAATGTCTAAAAAGCTTCCTCAGGGAGGAAATAATGAACCAAAGGTTGAGGAATACTGTCTTAAAACCACGCTCTGCTGTCTCAGTAGAACCTGAAGTTCCACAAGCACGCTACTGATGAGGTACTTCTATCAATGTCATTCTTTCATCCAAAACCCACCTTGAGCCTGCATGCGTGTTCTCACCAAAGCCAAGGGGTAGCTGGCCAGCTGACCGCAGGTGCTGGATAAGGCACCACATCCCAGCAACACCATGACTCCAGGGTTTACAGAGTCTTTGGCAAAATTATCTAGCCAATGGGACTTCAAGAGCTACCAGAGAAACAGAAAGGAAGAAAAATAATTTAAAAAACGAACTTTACAGCAGCTTTCACTCAACATGAGCATCTTCGCAGCTACTCATCCTTACGAGAGACAGGCTGCATTTCTGCAAGATTGGGAGGCACGTTCCCAGGAGCAGCAGCTCTGCAGAGAGGTAGGGAAGCCACGGGGGATTCAAAACACAAGAGGTCTGTACTGGTTGTTCATCTTCCGTGAAACAAACGTGAAGCTCGATAGCACACCAAACGTAGGCTCTAAAGAACATTTCCCACGGTGAGTATAAATGAAAATAACATACTACTACTAAGTACATCTAATTTTGTACTTTATGCGTTATTTCATTTAGTCGTTCTACAAAAGCTCTGAGATAGAGCTATTCTGATTCTAGAAATGAGCAAAATTAGTCTCAGTGTAGTTTTTTTAACAAGGGTGCAGAGTCAAGTGTATGTTTTTTTCTTGTTATCCTAGGTCCCTATAATTCCATTAGGAGGCAATAATTGAGAGAAAGTGAATAAAATATTATGTTAATCTAATTTTGAAATATAAAATATCTTAAGTATAAAATTATATGCTAACACATGGGGGGAATTATATACTAGTTTAAAGTTTTCAGTGAAAAATTTAACTGTATACTTGGATCTTGCAATTATACAAGAATAGCTCTATAAATTTGAAAGCAAAAGTTATATTTCAGTGTCTTATTTAATGTCCATTTAGTACTGTAATATGACAATAAATAAAGTCATGAAGGCTAAAGACAACCATATCTGAACTACAGGAATCAGAAAAGTGATTCACTAGAAACTAATCAACTATTTACACTATTAAGACGAGAAGGGATGGGGGGAGGCGAGGGGAGATAGGAAAATGTACTCTTAAAACAATTACTTTAAAAATATACATGATCTTATAAATTCTCTCTGTGTGTCCCATAATCCATTTTCTTCTCCATCCTAGGATCCATTATCATTCCTTGCCTCTCAGGTCTCTCTAGGGTTTTTAATTTTTTTTACCTGTTTATTTTCATTTGTTTTTGTTTCCCCCTCATTATTGGCTCTGTACCCCTCAACTGATAGATATTCTCAAAACTCTATCACCTTATAAAGGTTCCCCGGCAACATAAGATCACAACGATGGGGTCCTGACCCAACAGGACGAGTGTATTTATGAGAAGAAACACCAGAGAACTCACTCACTCACTCTCTCTCCCTCTCTTTCTCAGAACACAGCAAGAAGGCAGCTGTCTGCAGGCCAGTAAGACAGCCTCACCACAACCCAAATCAGCCAGAACCTCGATCTTGGACTTCTAGCTTCCGGAACTGTGAAAATGTAAATTTCTACTGTTTAACTCACCCACCCAGTCTATGTTATTTTATAGCCCAAACAAACTGATTTACTACCCAAAACAATCTACAGATTCAATGCAATCCCTATTCAAATTTCAATGACAGTTTTTGAAGAAACAGAAAAAAAATTCTAAAATTCAAATGGAACCTCAAAGAAGTCCAACTGGTCAAAACAGCCTTGAAAAAGAACAAAGTGGAGGCCTCATACTTTCTGATTTCAGTATGTCTTACAAAGCAACGGCAATCAAGAGAGCGTGGTGCTGGCATAAAGACAGATTCATAGATCAATAGAACAAAAGCGAGCCCAGAAATAAACCCCTGAATACACAGCAAATGATCTTCAACAAGGGTGCCAAGGTTACACACTGGGAAAAGGACAGTCTCTTCAGCAAATGATGCTGGGAGAATTGGATACCCACATGCAAAAGAATAAAGTTGGACTCTTACCTTACAACATACACAAAAAAACTAACTCAAAATAGGTTAAAGGCCTAAACATAAGACCTACTGCTATAAACTCCTAAGAGAAAACAGAAGATAAAATCTTTAGGACATTGGATTTGGCAACAAAAGCAAAAATAGACAAACGGATTTCATTACCTTAAAAACTTCTACACCACAAAGGAAACAATCAACAGAGTGAAGAGGCAACCTATGTAATGGGAGAATATATTTGCAAACCACATATCTGATAAGGAGTTAATACCCAAAATATATAAAGAACTCCTACAACTAAACAACAACAATTTAAAAAAAAACCTGATTAAAAATGGGCAAAGGACACTGCACAGACATTTCTCCAACAAAGATATGCAAACAGACAACAAGCATATGAAAAATATTCAACATCACTTCTCATCAGAGAAACGCAAATCAAAATCACAATGAGATACTGTCTCACACCTGTTAGGATGGGTACTATCAAAATCCAGAAACTAATAAAGATTAGCAAGAATGTAGAAAAATTAGGACTCTTGTATACTGTTAGTGGGAATGACAAAGGGTGTAGCTTCTATGGAAAACAGTTCGTTCCTCAAAAAGCTTAACACAGAATCACATACGACCCAGCAATTCTACCGGTAGGTATACACCCAAAGGAACTGGAAGCAGAGACCTGAGATACTTGTACCCCTTTTCCTCAAAAGCGGAAATTATCCTTGAAATTAATTCAACTCCTCAACAACTGATGGCATTCCAAGCTCCTCAACCTTATTAGGAGTTTTTACCCTTAAGACAAGCTTGGAAGATAACATAAACTTAAAACTCAAAGAAGTCCCTGAGAGACTCAGCAAAATCCACAACCCATGTTGGGCAGGTGTCTTCGGCTCCCCCAGTTAAAATTCAAATTGACCATGGTAAGCCTCTTCCTACCGTTAAACAATATCCTTTAAATCCTGAGACTTCAGCAAGAATTAAACCAGCCATACAGGAAACACAGAGGAATATAAGACACACGACCTCACAGTCCCCTGCACTAGTCTCTGTAATACATCCATTCTTCCTATTAAGAAACACCATGGAAGAGGATGGAGACTTGTCCAAGATTTGAGGGATATTAAAAACATTATCAATAACCTCTAATGGAAAAAAATATGTAAATGAATATATGCATGTATATGCATGACTGGGATATTGTGCTGTACACCAGAGACTGACACATTCTAACTGACTGTACTTCAGTTAAAACAAACAAACAAACAAACAAACATTGTCATCAACTGTCATCCAGTTGTCCCTAGCCTTCATGCCCTTTTAATGGCAATACCTAACGGAGACTAAATTTTTCACCATAATTGACCTCTGTAGTGCCTTTTTCAGCATCCCTGTGGATCATGAAAGTCAAATTTTATTTGCTTTCATGTAGGAAGGACAATGCACCTGGGCTGTCATGCCACAAGTCTACACTGAAAGTCCTTCCTACTTTTCACAGATCCTGCAAGCAGATTTAGCAGATGTCATTTTTCCACAAGTGTCCACCTTCTTCAGCATATTGACCACCTTCTCTGCTCCTCTCCCGAGGAAGCAAGTGAACAAGACAGCATCCATCTTCCCTCAGCAACTAAAGGTCATAAGATCTCTAAAGAGAAACTACAACTTGCGGAATGCAGGCCAAATACCCAGGACACTTGACCTCAGATTAAGGACTCCATTTAGACCCTAAAGGGATTCAAAGTGTCTTAAATTTCCCACAGCCACAGACCAGAAGACAACTTTAAAGATATGTGGGTCTGATCAGATACTAGAGAAACTGGATACACAATTCTTCAGTTGCCCAGCCTCTTTATTCATTGCTCAACGCTGAAGACCAGATCCTTTTGAGTGGGAAGAAAACGCCTTTATGGCTTTCCAGAAGCTGAAAAGTGGACTTTTCAAGCCCTTGCTTTAGGACACACTAACTATCAGCTTCCCCTTTTCCACTTCATGTACGAAAGGAGAGAAATGCCTTAGGAGTGCTTACTCAAAGGCACAGAGGTCAACACTGACCCCTTGGCTACTGCATTCAGCAATCAGGCCTGTGGCCAGAGGTCTTCCTCCGCGCCTGAGAGCTACTTCAGTAGCAGCAGCCCTTACAACATCCTCTGAGCAAATAGTTATGGGCCCTCCACTCCTTGTCTGTGTTCCCCCTCGCAGCAGGAGGCTTGCTCAATTCTCATCACACTCAACTCCCTTCTGCAAGCCGTCTTACCCCATAAGAACTACCATTACAACTTCTCACACACCCTCTTCCTGCTACAGCAACCTCAAGCCTACAACCCCTCTCTTTACTTAGTGACAAAACTGCTCATGACTGTCTGACCCTGACGGATCGGTTATTAACCCTTAGAGCTGACTTACAAGAAACCCCTATTGCTAACACTGAGATTTCATGGTTTGCTGATGGTTCTCATTTGAAAAATGGTAAAGGAAAATACGGTGCTACACCATCTTGTGAACTGTGCTACAATTTCTAAGACTGAGGCAGCTCCACTGCTGATGGCCACTTCAGCCCTGCAGGCAGAGCGCCATGCTTTAACTAGAGGTTGCACCTGAGCAGAAGGTAAAACCCTGAATACCTACACAGATAGTCACTGTGCCTTTAGGGTACTTCACGACCCTGGCGTGCTTTAGAAAACAAAGAGGATTCTTAACCTCAGGAAGAAACCTGATTAAGAATGAAAACTGGGTCAATAAATTGTTGGAATCAATCCAACTTCCACCTGTCCTGGCCATCATTAAGGTACCCGGGCCTCCGAAATTAAATCCAGGTGACACCAAAGGAAATAATCTGGCTGATCAGGCCACAAGGACAACTGCCTTATGAGCCACCAGACCTGCCTAAGAGTTGTTTCCTGAATGCCTCCCTGTTGCTCAAATGTGGCCTAACCCTTATGACACTGACTCCTTAAAATAACCTTCGGAGATTAAAACTACCCCCGACACGGAACACGACTGTGTTCTGGGACGGGCCCATCCCAGCCAGCAACACGAGACAAAGCAGACCTGTAAGTTGACTGTCAATGCTTTTAGAGAATGATCTTGATCAAAAGAGGAAAACGTGAAATAAAACGGAGTCACTTATGTCATAAGTTTTAAAATGAAGCTGGGAGGCCATTCAGGTGGACCTTACGCACATCGCACCATGAACTTACGAGTGAGGCCAAACCACAGACAGTTCAAGGACTCTGCAAGAACGCCCACAACTTGTCACAGTAACAAACTCTTACCTCCTTCTAGTGGTACCCTTAGCAATCAGTCATGTTGAGCCAGCTAGGTTCTGCCTCCAACTCCAATTAAAATTCTTCTTTGGCATAAGAAACCCCTGACTTTTACTCCCTAGCAGACACTATTCAGGCTGCTACCCAAATTTGTGTGCAAGGAATTGCAATTCTTTGATCCCAAATAAACACTTGTGTTTGATTATAGCCTCGTAGGTTGACAAGAACAAGGAGTGAATCTGTGCTGCTCATATCAGTCTCTAGGCTTTTCCAATGTCAGATTTTAACAAATCAGAGGAAATGTGCCATTTTTGCTTATTTTCTCTCTCCTCAAAAAAATCCCCAATACCATCTTCTAAGCTGAACAACTATATCTGAATGTGAACCTATTCTCTTCATTAATAAAACGAATTCACAGGGAAATCTAATACAAAAGTGACCAGAGGCTTATGGGTCACATAGTCAAGGAACTTGAGAAGAAATATCAAAGAACACACCCTTGAATCTCCTTTTGGTCACAGACTGTTTCCAGGTATATGTGTATTTCTCTACATAAAGTCAAATTCTAACAATGAGAACTATTTAGCTACATTTTCAGATTCAAAAGCTTGCTACAAACTCACCTCATACACAGCAAGATCTATGCCCGCATACGGTATGATGCCCAATAAATTGGGAACATAACCTTTGTAAAAAGCTCCCACGCCTTCGTGTTTCAAAATCTTCTTGGCGCAATCAAATATTCCAGAGTATTGTCCAGTTTTGCCTACAGCCAGCCTGGTTTTCAAAACCTGGTTATGAAAGAATATAACAAAATATTATTATTCGTATTAACTCTGTGATCATGGAATTCAAGAGAAGTAATCTCACAGAGAGTAAATACCTAGCATACACTGTCACTCAAATGACTGTCCAAGTCATTGGTGTGTTCACCCTCACATATTATCCCTCTTGAGGGTCCAAGTCCAGAGCCAAGAAGACCCATTTATTGCAAAGAGGTCATAATTCAGACCTCTTTGAATTAGGGCAGTGGCAGAGGAAACAGAAGGAAGCTAATCTATTGATGTGTTAACAAAACTGACTGGTGACAAATTAGATACGGAGGGTGGGGGAAATGGTAGTGTAACAGATGACTCCAGTGTTTCTAGCTCAGAACACAGCATAGGGCCAGCAGGGAAGAGGGAAGGTGATGCTGTTAGCTGAGATGGAGGATATAAGAGGTAGACTAGGTATTGAATTAGGATATGCTTTTGAGGGGTGTGTGGAGTAATGTGAATATGAATATTAAGATGCTTGCAGGGAAAGCTGTATTAATATGTACACCACAAAGGTGAAAATTAAGGGTATTTCTTACTTAGGTCTTATCAGTTTTTTGAAAAACCCTCTGTCCTACCAATAAAAATATCCACATCTACAATATTATTTCTGCTCTAAAGCAGGAGTTGGCAAATGTTTTCTATAAAGCAAATATTTCAGTCTTTGCAGAACTAAAATATCAGGTCTCTGTTGCATATTTCTTTTTTTGTTTTGCTTTGTTTTGTTTTAAACCACCTTAAAAAGGCAAAACGTAAAAACCATTCTTAGTTCAAGGGTACAAATAGTCCACAGGTCCACGGTTTGCCAGACTATGCTGTAATGGAAGGATGTGCAGTTAAGATTACTATCACCTAATCAAATTCTAAGACATGAAATTTATGGTACAGAAACTCTTTGGAGAGGAGTGAGTGTTGTAATTCCTACCAACACTAGGGCCCCCAGCCTCCGAGATGGCCCCCGACTATCCCTGCCTCCTGGTATTCACACCCTGTGTAGTCCCCTTCCACACTCTACCAGGGGCAGTCGGTGTGACCAACAGAATAGAGCAGATGTGGCCAAAGATTGCAGTTTCCATCTTGGGTGCTCCCTTTGAAAACTGATTTGGAGAAACCAGCTACCGTGCTGTGAGGAGACTCAAGCATCCTATGGACAGGCCCCTGCGATAAGGAACTGATGTCTCCAACCAATAGCCAGGGAGACCTGGCAACTAACACATGAGTAAGCGTGAGAGCAGATCCATCCCGAGTTGAACCCCGCAGTGACTGCAGCCCAGGCTGACACCCTGACTACAGGCCGTGAGAAATCCCGAGCCAGAGACACTCAGCTAAGCTACACCCAGATCCCAGACCCACAGAACTGTGAGAAAATAAACACTTGTTGTTTGAAACTGTTAATTTGGGGATAACCTGTTACACAGCAGTAGCTAGTAATACAAACACCATTAATGCACTCAGACTTCACGGTGGTACTTACCTCCATAGGATAAATGAAAGTCTGTGCAGTTGCTCCTGCCATGGAACCGGAAACAAATCTCTCAAAGGTGCCTATTTTTTGTCCTTCCTCAGTAAGCAACTTCTTGTACTGTGTGAATGAAGTTTTAAATGCACATTAATGCCTGCTACAGAATGAACTGTGCTGTTTCCCCTCCCTCGGCTGCCACAAATTCACATGTTGAAAGCATAACCCCAAATGTGATGGTATTTGGAGATGGGGCCTTTGGGAGGTAATTTCAGTTCCATCAGGTCTTGAGGGTGGGGTCCTCATGACAGGATTAGTGTCCTTATAAGAAGAGACAACAGAGTTCTCGCTCTCTTTTTCTCTTTCTTTCACACGCTTCTCATGCTCTCTCCCTCTCTCCCCCTCTCTCCCCACCACACGTATGCACCAAGGGAAGACTGTGTGAACAGCACACGGTGAGAGGGTGGCCATCTGCAAGCCAGGAAGAGAGCCCTCACCAGAAACCAAATAGGTCAGCACCTTGATGAGTCTATCATCAGCTCAAGAGCTGTGAGAAATAAATTTCTGTTGCTTAAACCTCCCAGTCTATTGTGGTTTGTGTTATGGCAGCCCAAGCCAAGACAATACCAAAATACAGATCAGCTCCCAGAATTCAATTATGCACACACTGCATTAACAATACCTAACAGGAAAACAAGGACTGAATGCTAGCGCATTCAGAGTACTGGGCAGTAATTTTCAAGTTAGAATTCCACAGAACACAAACGGTCCACAGAGGGCACCCAGTAGCTCCTTTGCTAAAATCAAATCATAGCACTCTACCCTAGATGCACAGAAAATACAAGGTTAACAAAGTGTTCAGTCTTTGGATATTTTCCCCACAGTTTTTCTTTTATTAAGATAAGTTTATTTTCACCAGTACAAATAAAACTAATAAACGTGACAAACAAATATTAACAAAACAACTTAGCACAAAAGTTTGCGTAGGTAATACACGTAATTATACTAACGTGTCAACCCCAGAGCTCACCTGGCCCACCAGTACTAAAGCAACCGACATGGCTGAGCTGGGCAAGGGTGGAAATCTGACATAAATGCAGCCGAAGTACCGATGGCAGGATGTTAATATCATGGACTCCGGAGTCCAGAGAGGCAGACCTGGGCTGGAAGCCCAGAGCTGTGACCCTGAGCAAGTTCATGAACACGTCCAAGCTGCAGTCTCCTCGTCTATGATAACAGTACCTACCTTACGGTGCTGTTGAAAGGATTCAGTAAGGTAAGACACATAACACATTTAGCACAGTGCTGGGAACGTGGCAACTGTTCAGTAAATGTTACTACTATATTACCCTTCTACAACTCAGAGAGAAAAGGCTCCACCCAGACACAGACAGTGGCTGTAAGCCAGGCAAACTAGATTCCTTCTCCTAAGAATGCGAGGTGGTTCTACAGGGGTCATTAACCACTGACACTAGAGGGAGAAACGGATAAAGCAACAGAGAAGCAGACACACGGAGAAGGGACAGGTCAGCGATGTTCTACTTTCTGCACTTCCTGAGGGTCCTTCCCACAGGGACCTCGCTCTGCCCTGCTTTCCGGAGCCAGCCAGAGTGTCTGTTCCTTGGAATCCAAAAAGCCCAACGCAAAAATACAGGAATACTTTCCCCTAGTACAACTGCGTTTCTCTGCTGATGAGAAAAATTCAATCTATTATAATTTCACAAAGTTCCCCAAATGGCAGATACTCTCCCACCAAATGGTCGATGTTCCCACGGGCTCTGTTTCCTGAACTGCTCCAGAATGTTCAGTAACACTCTTTCTGCATAGACCCTATTAATTTTCCTGCATGTCATCAGATTATCACAAGTATTAAATATAATTTATTAAAAAAACTTCCTGCATATGAATAGGAACCTTGAAGGCACATTTTACATCTTGTACTCCCACCCAAACAGCACCCATCAAAAGTACTCAGTACATATTTAATGACTGATGGAGAATAAATATTTAAAGAGTAGGGGCGTGGGGCTCCTGCACCCCAAAACATACCATGCACAAAGGGAAGAGTTGAGGACAGAGAGCCTGTAAAGGGTTAGGCACTGTGCCAGGTGCTTAGCACTGTGTCACCAGGCTTAATTCCTGTCCCAGAGATCGGGTAACAGTCACAGAGACTTTAAGTGGTTTGCTCAAGGCCACAGATTTTGACTTTCCCAAAGGAGACTCAGCTGGGCTCTCAAGGCCAGCCTGAAATCCTTTTGTCTATTTCAGTTTTCTCTCCACTTGTTGGAACACCCAGTTCAGCCTTCTTCATTCTCCTCCAGCTTCTAATAACACCTCCCCTCCTCATTCTCAGGAAAAGTTCCTTCTCGGGAACTAAAGGCAGAACAGAGAGGCCACCAGCCAAGAACATCTTAGTATTTCTTCCCCCAGCCCCACAAAATCACCCACATCCACTCATATCGCCTTCCCAAGCTGACATGAGAAGAGTCGTCCACACAGTCAGCGGCTAATGCTGCCAACAGTCTGGATGGCACCCACTTCTCCCCCAGGCCTCCCACCTCCCACCGCACACATGTACTTCCTCTGAACACCTGCTGCAATGACCAGTCTCTCTCACTTCATTTTTGTTTCTTTCTTTGAACAAACATGCTTCCTTCAGCCGTGGGCAAGTTGCTCAGATAAAACTTATCAAAACCCCCCCTCTGCCCAACATCCTTCTTATCTATCCCTCTCTCCCTCTCCTCTTCTCCTTCCCTTCATGGACGTCAAACTCCCTAACAAAGGAGTCTGCTGCCCAGTCTCCACCTCCTGCTCACTTTAGCTCATTTCAGTCGCTTTCTCATCTCATTACTTCACTGAAACATTTAGATCTCCCATCTCTCTGATTTTCTCCTGTCCCTTTGGCTGCTCTTCCTCAGTCTCCTTTGCAAGTTTCCCCTCCTCCTTCCCCCTGGACGTATTCCCAGAATTCTTCTCATTCTAGACGCCTTCCTGGCTTCCCCTCAGTAACCACCTCTCGATCAGAGACCAAAGGCCCTAGTGGACCGCTCCCTGTACCTGTCACAGAGACAGCTTAAACCCAGCTTGTCCAAAATGCAACCCACCATTTCACCCCTAAGCCCGTTCCTCTTTCTGTATACTTTACATATTTAGTTACTCAAGTTAGAAACCAGAGTATCATTCTTGATTCCTCTCTCTCACCTCCACATCCACTCGGTGAGTTCTGTTGTTTCTCTTTCCCCAAATGTTTTTCAGTTCATTTCCGTTTTCCTCCGGTCCGTACAGCCACCACCTGATACCGGTGCTCACGGTTTCTTACCTGAATTCCTGGAATATTTCCTTAAATATCTCCCCACTTCCTGTCCAGCCTCACTCTCATCCAATTCACTCCCGCTCTTCTGCCAGGTTGACCTATCTTTAATATAAATACACTCGTTTCACTTCCCTACGTAAGATGCTTTCTCAGCCCCTCACCACACTCAGGACAAAATCTAGGCTCCTATTACATTTGGCTCCTGCCTATCTTATTTATTTTAGGCTCCAGCTTTCCTAGTATAAAATCCAACTATGTGGTTAGAATAACCTACGGGTATCTAAACAGCTGGCCCTTACTAGTTGTGATCTGAATCTTCAAGCAATCACAGAAGGGAGAGATCCTTCCCAGAGACAGGCTCTAATTAAAGCTGTGGAGACCACATTTCCATTCATTTTTTTCCTTGCTTCTTCATTTCCTAAGCCAAAAAAAGACACCACTAGACTTTGTAATCTTGTCAAGAATATTCTGTTGCTCAAGAACAAAATAATCAAAATCTATTTGAAATAATGCAGAGTAGGAGGTGGAGTTAAATCTCACGGTTCTCATGGTCTGTAATTAACAATGATGGAAGAAATAATGGAAAGAATAACTTGGTGCCCACTCACCTGGACAGTTCTGCTGATGATCATAAAGAGAAACCAAACTCTTAAACCCACTGCACTGTTTCCTCTGAACGCCAGGTTATGGTGAAGCAGCACCCTAACATCGAAGTACTCTGAACCTGGGCAGTTGATTCGGAGGTAAATGCCTTCACGCACTCACTCACTCACTCGCTCAGCAAGCACTTGATGGGCACTGATCACATACCAGGCTCTGTCTGAGTGCTGGAGTGCATGGAGCCAAACCCCTGCCTTCATGGAACTTTCAAAGTCCACTCCATTTCATAGCAATGTCAAAGCACACAAAGGACGTCAACTTAAAAGTTTTCCTCTCAGATGCTGGATGGGGATACTTTCACAAAAACTTGTGTTAGTGTGTAGCTTCTGTTCTGAATTCAAAATGAATAAGCTAAAATTTTCCTTTCAGAGCTACTTAGAGAAGCACACAAAAGTCTTTCTTTATAAATAGCACGAAATTCAGACCCCAGAATTTAGTCATGAGAAATCTTTGAGTTTATCTAGTCTAATCTCTTGTAAGAGAAATTCCTCGTGGAGTATATGCAGGAAAATTATTATGAATTGAAACAATGATCTAAAAAGCACTGCATGTTCATTGTTACTAAATTACTTTATTAGCTCATCTTTGTTAATAAATTCCACCAGTGATAAAAATGGACAAAATTACCTGTTCATATGCCCAGAACTTAACAGCTGTCTCAGGAGCAATTTTGATAACATTTGTACCGTTTCCTCTCCAAAGGGAGCGGATACCTCCTTCTTTCACCATCTGTCGAAAGCCACCGTATATGTTCATTTTGTTTGATTTTGAACCATGGACCTAAAAATAAACACAAAATAATATGAAATTCTGGTGGTATGTTGTCATTACTATTTCTAAAATAACAATACAAACCACTCTCATTCCTTCAATACTACTTATTACCGCAAGAAGATATATTTCAAAATAGAATATGGAAGGCTGAGAAAATATATAATGGGAAGAATTATGACCACCATTTTAGAAGCCTGACTCTGAATCCAAAACTAAGAAAAATGAATATACTTAATGTGGCAAAGCAGACAGAGAAGACATGATCAAAATTAAAATTATGAACAGCATTCATCAGATGAGATGAACTAAATTATTATTTATTAGGCTACAGAACACCTTTTGGAACACGAGCAAGTTCAGTGTAAGAAAATTAGAAAAACATACAGAAGGTAATACATTCTCTCTCCCCACAAGAAGTAATACTGACATGATATATAAAGGGGTCTGAAAACAACGTGGATATTTTGTGTATCAGAGCCACAGACACTGGAATGCACACAGCCTGACATCAGAAATAAAAACTGTACCTCCTATGGCTTCTCTCGAGACCTCACGTACCAACTGCCTAACCCAGCGACGACCGATGAATTAGTCGGCTCATATTACAGCTGTGACAGTTGTTTGAATATACTAGACCTCAGGATGGCCGTGAGATAAAAACTGATTGAATCTAATAAACCAAAAATAATTAAAGAAGTCAGCTCTTCTTTAATTGTTTCAGCCTACACAAAATGAGTAATAACTATCAAAAAAAAAAAAATAAGATGGGAGGGGCTGAAGACTGCAGGTCAGCCACGCAGGCAGCCTGTGACCTGGTCACAATAAAGACTCGGGTGAGCTTCCCTGGTTGGTGTGCAACTCTGGGCATGTTGTCACACACTGATGCCGGGAAAGTAACATATTATGACTTGACAGGGAGAGGACAACAGAAACTCTGCATTTGGTACTTCCCTGGACTCAATCCTATGCTCCTCCCTCCTTGGCTGATTTTAACCTGTATCTTCCCCTGTAATAAACCATAATCACGAGTATAAAAGTTTCCAGTGAGTTCTGTGAGCCCTTCTATTGAATTACTGAATCTGAAGGTAGTTTAGGGAACCCCCCAAACTTGCAGGAATTAAGGTCCAGATATATACCTTTTATTGTTAGATAAACTTCACAATAAAATATGACAAAGGAAAAGGCGAACGCTTATTCAGGCTCTCTCAAAGTCAATTTACTGTTGTTCCTAAAGAAAAACATCCATATCAGTTCCCTCTCCTTTTTCTTTAGAGTATCTTTACCCCTAAATATATTTTGGGATGCAGGCACTACCCTGAATGGATGCTAATTCAAAATATTGTCAGAAATCTTTTTGTACAGAAATCTAAGGACAAACATAAAAAGTGCTGACTGTTGGTATAACAACTCAACTTTTAAAAACCCTTTTTAAGCAACTACTATATTACAGAAGCGTGTCTGAGCGTACCGGGCATTTTCACATACTTTACATTGTTTAATTCTCACAACCACCCAGGTTGGATATCCTTATGTCCATTCCAGAATGAAGGGAAGTGAGGCCTCAGGGGTTTTATGCAGCATGAGAGACCTGAGCTTTGGAGCCCCAAACACTCCATTCCTTGTCTAATTTGTTGTAAAGGAAAAGTTATTTAACTCTGAGCCTATGTTCCCCACAGAGGATAAATCCCCCTTGCTGGGCGACTAGGGGATTACATAATGAGCACCAAATTAGTATTAATCCTTTCCTTTCCCTGTTTCTGTCCATCCTGACCAGCCAAGGCTACACTGCTAGTAGAGAGCAAAGTCAGTCTACAAATCCAGGTCTTTTCCTGCTGACCTCAGCTTCAGAATAATTTTTAAAATTACATCCTTATTCCAAGACTCTAGGTTTCAGAAAAACCCTCTCTGGAGAAAGTACATAAAATAGAAAATACAAATAATTTAATGAGAACCCTACAAAAATGGTTGGAGATTTTCTTCTCTAATTAAACATCTGAATAGTCACTGGATGCCAAGATTAAAAGCTCAGCACACACACGTACCCATAATTTAAGGTTTGGTCAAACAACGAAATACTTATTTATGCACTGAACTTAGAATCAACAGTACTAAGATTAAGAGATTTCTTTTTAAAGGTATGACTATTACTGAGAAACTTTTAAACTTTTTTCACAGCACCATATTTCTCATTGTTTCAGAATGTTTAGGACAACCTTAGACATAAGATCCTAAGGCTCACCTGCATCATGACTTTCAGACGATCCAACGGGGCGGTGCTTGTTCGAGAGACGGCACCAGCAACACCTCCCGCCAGAAGCTGCCTCCACCACTGCCCCGACTTCTTTTCTTCTTCCGTGAATTCATCCGGAATAGTTAAACTATCTCCTATGTCAATACCCTGTTAAAACGAAAAAGAAGATCCCCAGCCTCCTTCAATTAAAAATAAATCATCACGGAAGGTTTGTTTCTCTTCTGGGTTAAAGTTAAGATCAACTTCATTCCTTAGAAAATTCCACAGTGAACCAATTTGACCAGATAGGTGATTATAAATAGCCTGTTCATGCTAAATGAGATGTGGTATCAGTTCACAAGAAATAAAAATTAACAGTAATTACAAATTTACAAAACCAGTAATTACACCTTTTTTTCTTAGTAAATTTGGAGTAACTTTTCTCTTCTACATCTCAGTCAGAATGAAAGGGCAGCATTTTATCCAATGTAGTGAGTCCTTATCAGCTACAGAAAAATTAATTTGTCAGTTCTTCAAAGATACTCCCTTTATCTCAAAATTCTTTCCACATTATTTATACCTTATACCATGATACATGCTTTAAATATGTAAATAAAAATTAAATAAAAACTGTAATGTGAATACCCCTAAGCTCCTTTCCTATAATAGACTGTATAAATACTTTTATAAATCTGACTTATCATTTAAAACATGCAGTAGAGTCTACATAAAATTTAGCTAACAGGGACGTGTTGTTTAAAATGATCTACCTTTCAATCTACTCCAAACAGGACTAGACATCACAAATATAGCTTGACAGAAGCAAACTTCTATACTGATGTTTTTACAACTTTATTATCTAAATGATTCTGGTGTAAAAGATTTTATAGGTAAGAGTGTCAGGGTAAAGGGCTGTAACTATACCTGTAACCCTCTTATTTCTTCATTTTACTATCAGTAAAATGGATACGTGATTGTAGCCTCATGTTATCAACTGTCTCCAAAGATACAGTAAGAATTTATGTAAATATGACCTCACATAAGTATAAAATTTGTCAAGGCAACTGAACTACTAATATAGGATGATTTTATACTCACAGCTAAAAAAGTATTAATCACTAATGATGGTACAAAGCTTTAGGTAAGTCTAGGCATTGTTACTAGTGGTGATGTGAACTCCAGGCTTCATTTAGTGCATGTAAATTTTACTGAAATCCAGGAATAAGTATAGAAGTCAACTCATTAGAAAAATAAAAATTCCCTCAAAGAGCTCCCATTGTTTTCTGGAACAGTTTACACAATAAAATGAACTTCATTTACCCTAGGCTATTTTAGCTGAATATTAGTGAAATTTGATTAAAATTCAAAAGTTTTGAGGAATATAGATAGGTATGAAATGCTGAGCTGAAGAGTCAAAGATTTTTTTAATCTTCTGTAATTATTATTACAGGTGCCGGAGATAAATCTAGGCAGGTGACCACACAGCCAAGTTTCAGAAGGGATCTTTGGCCATTATCAACGGCCAAGTAAACAGATTCTCAGCAGCCATGAGGTACTGAGATTATTGATGCAAGATAATATCTATAAAAAAGAAAGGCTTTTACACTTCCCTATGGCAGAATACTTAAATGCCAATAAAAACTGGGCAGCTTATCTTCATAGATTTTTGGAAGGCGGTACCTCTTCCAGGTTTTGAGAATGGCAAAAATAGAAACTACATCTGCAATGTTTACGCAGCCTTGGAGATTTTTGGACTTTCGTTTCAAGATACTCTGAATATACTCAATAGAACAAGCAGAAATCTACACGTTAAGGAGCTGCTGGGACTTGGGTACCCTGGCCTGAGTGTTACAGTCCTCTTAGGTGATAGCTACACCGAGGGTTTACAGCTCCAAGAAAGTATAAAGTCATACACAAAGCGTCTCACCGTGGAATGTTTCCAGAAACGGATAATTTCCTCAATGTCTGTAACAGGATTAAATAAGAAGTAGTCTCTCCATTCGTTCCAGTCCACTGTCATCGTCCCATCAGAATCAATGCTGAAAATAAAAAGAAGCTGATGAAAGAACAAAACAAAATTTATACATAAAACGAAGATCATTGGCCATGGTGCAGAATGACAGTTTCTCTTTCAACTTAATATTCCTATAAGGTTTTGGAAATGGCAACAAGCATCTGACGATCTGCTGGTTTAATCATTTAGATAAAAATGGACCCCAAAATTACAGACCTCACTCAAGGCTACTTTTGGTGCTCTGTCGAACTCCAAGTCAATGAGCTATTAAACACTGAAGCTAGAAGATAAAATTGGGACATAGTGGTGAATGGATTTATGATCCATTTTTTCTTACACTGGTTCAGGAAGATAGTTCTCAGTGTTCTGTTGTAACATTTGGAGGTGACTTTGCAATATATTCAAAATATGCTGTCAATTTCCTTCTCCAATTTTCTCTGAAAATTAAGAAAATTAGCAGTGATTGTGAAAAAAACACATCAAACTTGGTCATTGGGCCTTCTGAGTCTAAAGAAATCCTCGTACCTTATCTTCAATATTTAAAATTAATATATTATAGCCTTAGATATTTTTCATTAATTTTTTGCTTCTTTTAGAAGTTTCTTCACAATAATGTCATTTGTACCTGCTTTTTTCCTAAGAACAACTCAAAACTGTCCAGGATTTTGACTATTTTGTTCACTATTGTACACCCAGCACCTAAAATGACTGGCACAAAGAAAGTGCTCATTTATTTGTTGAATTAATGAAGATCTCTGAAAAAAAGTTTTGATGTCTCCTCCAAATTTTATATTTATTCATGATTTGTGTGAAAGTGATGCATAAAGATGGCCGTCAAAAAATGCGATTTTCAGATATTTATTATTATATTTTCCAATGTCACTTCTAATTTGATCTGCATATGTAAAATGACACTGAAACTTCCATTTGTCCCAGCAGACAGGTATTAGCATTCCATATTTGCCTAAGAGTTAAAGTTACACCTGATGTCTATAGCACTATTCTTCTGGGCTGTAATATTTATAGCTCTATTTTTAATCACTATTTCTGTTTTAATGCAATTATTTATTGCCTGATCCTACCCACCAACCTCCCATTCACGCATGCAAGCATCCTCCAGAAGGCAAGGATTTCTGTTGATTTTACTCACTAATACGACCAAAGTGTCTAGAACAGTGCCTGGCACAGAGCACATGCTTACTGGATGAACAAATGAACTCCAAACTCTGTAGCTCAAAGCCTCAGAACACTTAGTATTGACAAACTGCTTAAATAAGATAGTCTCATTATAGGTTTAAATTTAATTTCTCTTCAAAATACAAAGTTGAGCATCTCATATTTATTTACTATTCATGTTTTTCCCTGTGTGAAATGAAATGCCCTTTCGTATCTTTTGCCCATTGTACTGTGTTGTGTCTTTTTTCTTAAATATGTATAGTTCTCTATGTAGTTGATTCTAATCCTTCAAGTTATAAGTCAGCAAATACCTTCTCTTTGTCTTTTCACTTTATTTATGATGTCCATGAATAGATGTATTAATTTTAATATAGCTGAATTTATCAATATTTTTATTTATGGTTACTGACTTTTGTATTTCTTTTTTAAATAAATTCTTCCCTAAACTGAGATAAAGACATTTTCCTCTTTTTCCCCTAAAGGTATTGTGGTGTAACTTTCACATTTAGGTAGATTCTCTTTTAACTGAAGTATAGCTGATTTACAATATTGTGTTAGTTTCAGGTGTACAGCAGTGATTCAGTTATATTCTTTTCATATTGTTTTCCATTATAGGTTATTATAAGATATTGAATATAGTTCCCTGAGCTGTACAGTAAATCCTCATTGCTTATCCCTGTTATGCATAGTAGCTTGTATCTGTTAACCTCATACTCCTAATCTAGTTGATCCCTCCCCCTCTTCCTTTCCCCTTGGGAACCACAAGTTTGTTTTCTATGTCTGTGATTTTTGTGGACAGTGTGAGGTATGCACCCAACTTCATTTCTGTCTGCATGGATAACCAGGGGCACCAGCACCTTTCATTGCATAGTCTCTCCTTCTCCCAGTGATCTGCAAAGCTACTTCCCTCATGTGACAAATCCCAAATATGCATCGGTCTATTTCTGGGAGAGTATGTTCCATTTGTCAACTTAGTCTATCTGTGTAGCAATACCACTAAGTCTTAATAATAGCTTAATAACAACTCTTGATATCTGATAGGGCAGGGCCCCAGCTCCTCATGGTTCTCCAAGAATGTCTTAGTTATTCTTGGGCCTATACAGTTTCATTTTTCTCTAGAAATGTTTAATAGCCCAAATGTTGGGGTAAAGAGAACAACTTGCAGGATGCTTCAGGGTTGGGGGAAAGCAAGTAGGAGTGGTGGAAGGAATCAATCAAGAGGAGATTGACGGGCTGGTGGAAATGAAGGGGCCAGAGGTCTGTAAGTCAAAAAGCAAATACTGTAGGAGCAAGACAGTATACAATCTGGAAGAAGAAGGGTCAGAAGGTAGGATACAGGTGTACAGACTTCAGAGGAGGAGTAGCTTCCAGTTATGATACAGTCCTGAGAGGGAGTGGGCGACCGAAGCAAAGTGGAATGAAAGTCTCTGGTGCTGAGCACAGCAAGGAGCACTAACGCTAAGGAGAGAGAGGGGTCACCAACGCGAATACTGAAGTTCCCCAGGACTCGGGTGAAGAGAAGACGGCTGTCAAGTGCCGAGGCCCTCCATCAATGTAGAGAGGGAGCTAGAGACAAGGAAATGAGAGGAAAGAGGGATGGAGATGAAAGCCTGAAAGGAAAATGGACTGTTCTTGAGAGCAGAAGATAAAGGGATGTGAAGCACACATTCTTGAGAGAATCTGCCTTCTCAGCTACCCTCCCCGCTACAGTATTTCCTACTGAAAAAGTAGAACTAGGAGGTGATTCCTACCTCATACTCTGATGACTTAGCCAAGCTGTTTCAAACAGCACCTTTCAGATTTGCCTCCCAGGAGTTCAGTTTTGGGGACGCTAAGAGACAGTGAAATGGCAGAAAGGAAGCTGACATTTGGAGGCACATGAGTCACACTGATGGCTGAGCACTCCAGGGAAGATCCGTGATTCCACTACTGAAAACACGGTCAGATGGTGCCACACAAAACATCGTGAGATAACAGAAAATATATAACTCGGTCTCAGTTCTGTGTTCCCGGCACAGAGCCTCTAAACCCTTGTAAGTTCTGAAGTGGTAAGAGCACAAGGGCATCTCTTGTTCTAATATTTTATCTTTGACCCCATCCCTGACACAAAGCTCCTAAATCCCTTTTAAATTCCTAAGTGATTAGAGCACTAGAAGCATCTTTTATTCTCCTGAGGCAACTCCGGGTGGGCTCTGGATGGCTCATGAATGGGGACTGGTCACCAGAAAGACCGAGCCATGATGAGAAGCCTGGAATTTTCAGCCCCGCCCTCCTCTACTTCTCCAAAGAGGAGACACAGGCTGGAAACGGAGTTAATAATTGATCATGTCCGCATGAGGAAGCCTCCATAAAAATCTCAACAGCACAGGTTTTAGGAAGTTTCCTGTTGGCAGACACATCCCCATACTGGCAGAGTGACACCCAACTCCACAAAGACAGAAGCATCTGTGCTCGGGACCCTTCCACACCTCCCCTTACGTATCTTTCCATCTGATTGTTCCCATCTGTATCCCTTATCACATCCTTTAATAAACTGGTAAACACAAGTAAATGTTTCCTTGAGTTCTGTGAGCCACTGTAGCAAATAATCAAATCCAAGCAGGAGGAAGTCATGGGAGCCTTTGATTTGTAGCCAAGTCGAACAGAAGATGTGGGTTAGCTGGGGATTTAACTATTTACAATTGGCATGTGAAGTGGGGAGCAGTCTTGTGAAACTGAGCCCTTGACCTACGGGATATGACACCACCTCTAGGCAGACAATGTAAGAACTGAGTTAAATTGCAGGACCCCCAGCTGGCATTGCAGAGAATTGCCTGTTGTTGGAGGAAAAAAAACCCTACATATTTGGTGATCAGAAATTTCAGAAATGAAGTGTTTTGTGTGAGTAGTAAAGGAAACACCTAAAAGGGAAAACTCAGGTTTTTCCAACACAAACATATTCTAGTATTTCCACTGAAAAAAGTATAAATGCTAGTAATAATAATAATAACCCCAAAATGCAACAGAATATACACTTCATTAGCCATTGGGGAAATACAAATCGAAACTACGATGAGATACCCCTTCACTCCTAGTAAGATGGTTAAAATCAAAAGACAGAAAATCACATCGGGGAGGAGATGGAGAAAATTAAGCCCTCCATCCATTGCTGCCGGGATCGTAAAATGGTGCAACCACTTTGGAAAACAGTCTGCAGTTCCAATTTACCATATGACCAGCAATTCCACACTAGGTATTTACCCAAGAGAAGTGTATACCCAAGAGAACTGAAAACATGTGTTCACATAAAAACTTGTGCGTGAATATTCACAACAGTAATATTCATAGCAGCCAAAAAGTGGAAATAACCCAAACATACATCTATCGATGAATGGACAAACAAAATATCATACATACCTCCAACAGACTATCTCTTGGTCTAAAAAAAGGAATGAGGTAGTGAGACATGCTGCAACACGGATGAACCTTGACAAATATCACGCTAAGTGAAAAAAGCCAGACACAAAGGCCACATATTGTATGATATCATTTTTTATGAATGTCCAGAACAGACAAATCCATGGAGACAGAAAGTAGATTGGTGGTTGCTGGGGGGTTGCAGGGGAGGAGTAAGGAATGACTGCTAATGGGTACAGGGTTACTTTTTGGGGTGATGGAAATGTTCCAAAATTAGAAAACCGTGATGGTTGTACAATTCTCTGAATATACTGAAAATCTCTGACTTGTATGCTTTAAAAGAGTGAATTTTACTCTACGTGAATTATGTATCAATAAAGCTGCCATAAAAGATTTACATACACAAGTATACAGCTACTTTTAAATATCCACCCCTCTGCATTTCCTGTGGTTTATTCTGGAGCTTGGGCTTGGAATATGCATTATTCCTAAAGCTATCAAAAGGAATACAGGAATATGATTTCTGGCCTATGAACCAGAGAAAAACTCCCACTTTCATGGGGAAAAAAAAAAGTAGGCTTTAGAAGCAGACTATTAGCTACCCCATATTCCACTGTCAAAATGCTATTTATCTCCTTCTCGTGTTTTAACTTAACATTTCCTCAGGAAAGCCTTTCTCAGCCAATGTTAACAACAGTAACGCCACACACAGTTCTGACACCTGGGGCCTTCCTATTAAGCAGCTGCTTACAAAAGAAATTCTGAACATACAGAAAGGGGGAAAATGCTACTGGTGCAGATGTAAAAGGGGATACATTTGACAATAAAGCCATTTGGAAGAAACTTTTTAGATAATGTGGAAGACTGAAAACATTCACAAGAAGATGAATATAATACAACCATCCTTTTCTATCTTCTGTTATCAGATTTTAAAAAACTGGTCCCTGTGGTGTATTTGTAGCAAAAGAGTCTTCGAGGGCACTTAGACTTCAGAGATTATCACTCTATCCTGTGAAATAAAACATTAAGTCTGTAGCAGTCCGACTTACAAAATAGTTCAACTGACTGCCCTGGGCAATAACGTTCAAACTGGCACCTCTATTTTCTGAAAGTTTAAATAGGTGCGTGCGTGTGTGCGTGCATTTCCTTTTTCTTTTTTTTTAACTGAGGTATAGTTGATTTACAATATTACATTACTTGTAAGTGTACAACATAGTGATTCAAAATTTTCAGTTATATAATTATTTATAAAGCCAATTATTATAAGCCAATATTTTATAAATTTTATTTATAATTATTAAAAAATATTGGCTTTATTTCCTGGGCCGCACAATATATCCTTGTGGCTTATTTATTTTATACATAATAGTTTGTACCTCTGAATACCCTTCCCACTTAGGTTGTTTCCATATCTGACTATTGTAAATAGTTCTGCTATGAACTTTGGGATGCATGTATCTTTTTGAATTAACTGTTTCTGTTTTTTTCGGATATATATACCCAGGAGTGAAATTGCTGGATCATATGGTAGTCCTATTTTTAGTTTTTTGAGGAACCTACATACTGTTTCCACAGTGGCTGCACCTACATTTCCACTAACAATGTGCAAGGGTTCCCTTTTCTCCACATCTTCACCAACATTTGCTATTTGTTGTCTTTTTGATGACAGTAGTTCTGACAGGTGTGAAGTGGTATCTCATTGTGGTTTTGATTTGCATTTCTCTGATGATTAGTGATGTTAAGCATCTTTTCATATGCCTGCTGGCCACCTGTACGTCTTCTTTGGAAAAATGTCTATTCAGGTTTTCTGCCACTTTTTAATTGAAAAAAAATTTTTTTAATCACTGTTTCTTGTCAGTCAACTAGGGGAGCACTGGAATTTCCCTCTTATCCAGGTTAAATAATGTGATGAATCTGCCAGACTCCTTGTCTCGAAACAATGGGTTCTACGATCACATTAGAAACCAAATGGAAAAAGAGACAGCACTAAAGCATTTAGACTCTTTCTCCAGAAATTTAATACCTTTCTGCCATTCCACCAGCCCTAGAAGCCTTGAAAGAGTTCTGTCTGAGCTTACGTTTCCCACTCCTACACTTCAGATGTATGTGTACACACAAATGAAAAGGGAGAGAAGAGGGAGAAAGATAAATGAACGTACATAGTGAGGAATGCTAAGGTGCACACTTACAAACACAGATCTCTAATGTGGGTACTGAACATTACACACTTACAAACACAGATCTCTAATGTGGGTACTGAAATTAAAATTGAAAAATCTACTGGCCAAGAGATGAAGAGCTTACCTTTGAAGAATCAACTCTGCTTGTTGTTCAGAAATAGTTAGACCTAGTATCTGGAGAGACTGGACAATTTCAGAAGCCTCAATTTTTCCTTTAAAAAATAAAAATTATAAACTCAGAAATGATAAGGACCTTGGAAATCATGAATTTCAAACCTCTCACTTTATAAGGGAGAGTCTTGAACTGATTAAGGTAAAATTATGAACTTAGGTGGGTTATAGATTTGCTTAAATACATACTGCAACACCAACTCACAATTTCACAAGTACAGTAAATGAGCGTACACACATCATTTCATTCAAGTCCTAACAGCCTTGCAGGTAAACAACGGTGTTCCGTCTTAAAGAAGCGACTAAGAGCTTACACGGCCTTACCAAGGGGAAAAAACACCAAGACGCAGCAGAACTGAGATTCAAATCAAGATACTCTGGCTCTGAGGTAAATGCAATTAAGCTAGGATCTATTCATTTTAAAGTATACATTCCTACATTTTAATAAATGCCTAGGCACTTATTATGCACAAAGATGTACTGCACTGCATTAAAAGGAAGGAGAAAATGACTAAATGAAGCCAAAGAGTGTGGAACATTGTTTTGAGAAATCTGGGATAGCAGATTGACAGAAGAGAGAAAATGATTAGTATTAGAGCAATGAGAGCATGTTTCTAGAAAGAAGAATCAGAAGAGAAGAAAGAGAAAATACAAGCAATGAATGTTATACTGCTTCTCCCTCAAGCAGCTCACAGATTTACGAGGCTCCTATGACTAGTTTGTATGGAACAGGATGAAACAAAACCAAGTAAGAGAGGGTCTGATGCCAAACCGATATTCATGGCAAAGTTCTCCCAGAAAAGAGGAGGACAAAAATCACTGTTAGTGCTGAAAGGAAGGACTCCACTTAAGGGAAGGACTTTGAGGGAGCGACAGGATTTGGAGAGAATATTCCGAGGGAGAGGAAAAGAGCAGCATGAGAATCTGGACAGTTAGAGGCATCACCCTGTTAGCGATGAATATTCCCCTTTATAACTGCAGTCTCCAAGAATACAGTTAATCCTCATCACTCACAGCACTTACTTTCTATGAAGCCACTGTGAACACTGAAATAACAAAAACTGAACCTTTGTTCCTAAGGGAAATACAGGGTTAGGTTCCTGTGAGCCTCTGGTCACAACGTTCTCATCAACCAATCAATAAAAAACCTTGTTTTCTGTGTGTTTCTGTCTAAAGTCACCCTGTTTAATATATGTTATTGACTCACTAACATTGAACTCAAGGTCAACAGCGCTCTAAATCACGCCTGAAAGAACCCTATCTGCCATGTGTATTTAGCTTCCTGAGGCACATCACAGCCTTCCTGCATTTAGGAATGCCAGACAGCATCTCAGCACTGTTCTTGGGAGCCATTTTACAGAGTGAAATCATCAACATAAAGCACGAAAATGCAAAACCCATGGCCCCAGGTAGACTGCACAAGGACTCGCACAAGTGCGAGAGCTGAAACAAGAAAGCAGAGCTCCACCTTGTTCTATCTCAGCTAGAAATGTGCTCAGCAGGCAAATGAATTCGTCACTGCTCTGCACATGTCCAAGAATGACTGCAAAGCACTGTGTTGATTTTGGGGTTATTCTGGTGGTTATTCTGGAGTTAAATTTTAGCAAGTAGACAAATTCTCAAATGCAGAATTCACGAATAATGAGGATCGACTGTATATGCTTTGCTTTGAGGCAGTCTAATAAAAATATGAACCTATAATGAGAAAATGTTTTTAAAAATACAAACAAGATACATTAAGGGGAAACTGCTTGCATTTACTACAAGTAGGTTACAAAGTTTCATCTTGAATTATTCCTTCTGGTTCAAGTAGAATTTTCTGAAATGGACAACTGCTACGTGCACACCTTACATACACGGGAGATCAACCTCAAATGAGGTTGCTCCATCTCCCAGCTGCTGCCTGCCCCAACACTATACTCACAGTCCCATCTCTGCAGCAGAGGTGTAGAGGGCTGGCGTGGGTGGTACAGTGAAGGTTTTCAGGATGAAATAAAGTTGACTGTAAGAACTGAATTTTGCTAGAAGACTGGACTAAGGCAGACTTAGGGCATATAATGTAAGGTTTATGGGCAATAACAAGGGTCCCAACAGCACTCCTTTCCACCACAAGCTCAGCTCTTTCTGGCTGAGACTCATAGTCCTGAACGATCATCAAAACCAGCCAAAGGGCTTATTTAGTTGCTTGTTTGAAGGAACCTGCCTTGAATCTAACTGAAGTTAATGTTCAGTGTAAACCAGGGGCCAGCAAACTATATAACCCTCGTACAAACAAGGCCAGTTGCCTGCTTTTGTAGACAAAGTTTTATTGGAACACAGCCGTGCCCATTCATTTACATGTTACCTATGGCTGTTTCTGTACTATCACAGTAGAGCTGAGTAGCAGTAACTGAGACCGCAGGGCCCACAAATCTAAAACATGTACTAACTGGCCTTTTACCAAAAAAGAGTTTGCCCACCCTGGTATGAAGCATAATTTCTCTCAATTTTATTTATTTAACCTGTTTCTTGAATAACGAAATCTGTGAATGAAATGACCTTGACCACTCATGAGGAGGGAAGGGTCTGAGGCTGCATGACACATTTTAAAAATAAATTCCTTCTTCAAATCAAAGGTTGCCTCTGGTGATAAAGGTCTGATGACTGCTCCCCTACTATGGCCCTTGCTTTTTGCTCTACACAACTGGGCTCGAACTCCAAGCTGTTAATCTAAGTAGAAAAACCATAATCCCAATCTGAAGGTATATATTTAAATGTCTATCTTTTTTTTCCCCAACTTTCAGCATCAGAGAGAGTATCGTCTCTGATCAAGTATAATTCTTTCAAAAAGACTATCAAATGTAAGATAATCTGAAAGTTATTTAAATGTTAGAATACGTAGTACTTATGCCTCATATGAACAAAAATAAATCTCTTTTGCCCAGAGAGCAAGAAAACATAATTATTATTTTTAACCCAATAGCTTTAAGTCAAATCAGCATGAGGTTCCATAGTTGGTATTTTTACAAAAGGCCTTACTCAGTTTATAATTCAGTGGACAAGCTACATATAACTTTTCTTCATTAAAAACATTCTACATAAAAATCACATTACTGAGAAAGACATGTACTAGCATAAGTAATAATTATCATTTTAAAAATGGCAGATGAAATACACATCATTTTAGACTCTTGGAAGCATGAGAAGTGCTTCTGCATAGCTGGAGATAAACAGAAAAGACAGACACACCATCATTATTTTTGTCCAAACTCTTAAATGCCAATTTCATTTTCTTCTCATGGTCTTTAAGGTACTTCATAAATTCTTCAAAGTCCAACTTCCCATCTTTGTTGATATCACCAGTAGTAAAAATTTTCTAGAAAAAAGAAAAAAATTAGAGATATTTTATATGGGTTAAAAATACTAAATTATTTATACGTACTATTCAAGCAGATTGCCTGTTTTCCTAGGAAGGCATTATTTTAGAAATCCCAAGATAGAAGACAAACTCTTGACCTAAATTTAAAGGTGTAAAATAGTATCTTCCCCTTTCATTTTCAAAGTTAAATAATCTTTTCCTAAAGATAATCCTTACCAAAAAACCCTCTCATATCAAACTATTAAGAAAAATCATTCCTTTTGAGAAAGAAATAAAAAACTTACGGTATTTGAGCACTCTCTCACTGCCACCTAAAACATAAACTTTCTGCCTCTTAAAATGCTCACAATCACCCACACAAAGCTTACAAATTCTATTGGTTTGATGGTTACACTTTTCTGGGAAATAACCTCACTGCGTGGAATAGCATAATGGCCAGATCCCCAAGCTCTGGACTAAGAGAGAAAAAGTCCCAAAATTCATGAGATGCAACAAAAGTTTAGAGAAAAAGGTATGGTTTTAAATGCAAAATTAGAAAAGAAGAAAAGCTAGGAAGCAATGAGGAGTCA